GTGTGTGTGTGTGTGTGTGTGTGTGTGTGTGTGTGTGTGTGTGTGTGTGTGTGTGTGTGTGTGTGTGTGTGTGTGTGTGTGTGTGTGTGTTTATATATAAACGGTAGTGTAGCTTTGTATTTTTACAGTTATCTGAATTTTCGAGAAACTCTCCACACACCTATAAATATAACCAACTCGACACGCCTAAAAAAAAGTATCTGTTATTGGTTTGCTATAGTTGATATACTGTAAACCTCGGAAGCTATAATTGTGATTAACGCTTATTAATCAAAAAACTTCGGATATTTGACCAGGAATATCTATAAATTCCAAACATTATACACCATTTAAGTTCAGTGGATTCACATCGGACGTTAGTACTTTTACTAAGACATTATATAACTTCAGCGGTAAAAAAACTCAAGCTCGACCAGTAATCGGCGTGTGATCAGCGAGGCAGCTAGCTCCCTATTAAGTGAATTGTACCTACGCCAATTCGAAATTTACTCGCTCATCGTGAACCCTCGATAAGATAAAGGAAGTTCCAGACCAGAAAGGAGACTATTGTTTGTAGGTTTGTAAAACTTTTGTATATATCAATGTTTGTAATAACTGTTATTGTAAATTGTATTGCTGTTTGTATATTAAAACATATTTGTATTAAAAAAAGCAAACTGTGTATCAATCTTGTTGGCAAATATCATAAATTGGAGATATATCGACATTTATTTAACTACTAAATTTAAATTATCATTTAGCTCGGTTTCAGACCATTCGAAATTGTAATACGTAACACTTTGTCTTTTTTTTTTATGGCTTCGTTGCGGCCAAACGAGTGCCAGCCTTGCAACCATCTAAAACTTTAAAAGAGGAAATCATACCAAGAAATGTAGGATAAAGTGAGGGAAACGCCGGAACTGTGTATATAGATAAGTGTAGGTCGAATAATTCTATTGCCCTTACATCCGATCGTAGCGAGATATAAGGCGCCGAAATATCCCAGTTCAGTGACGGGTAAACCGAATTCCCCATTGCTCATAACAATAGGGAGAGACCGATGATACAAAAAGTGCGTGTATGTTACATGTACATATCACACAAAGGTTTTCTTTTTTTTTCGTTGTTGTTGTTTCCAAAGGGCGTTATATTTCAGCTTAAACCTTAAGGTGTTTTCCCACAATTTCATTGTATAAAAACGGCCGTGTTTTCAGATTGGTGGAATTAGAAGCAATAATTTCGCTGGGGAAAATGGTAATATAATAATTTTACTTTATGCTTCTAATAAAAACTAATATTTTAAATCTTTGCACCTCTAAGAAGGCATTCTATAGATTAACATATAAAAAAACTGAACCTTTCTATTAAAAAGAATGGTATTGAGAACGTTAAGGCATTCCACGGACCCGAAATGTTGATAAAATAAAATGTTTGTTCACAAGCAAATTTCTACAAGCATTCTATAATTTAGGCTTGAATGACAAACTTGTAACATAAGATAACCACCACGTTTTTAGAACATACTTTTTTCACATTTCACTTTGTAAGGTAGTTGATTTATATAATTCTGTCAATGTTTTACAGTTTAAAAATGAAATGATTGTAGGCTTAATTAATAAATCAAATTTAACATGGATAGACTTTGTATCTAACAGAATCTTAGTAACTTCATATCTAGATTTGTTTGGTTCTAATTTATTTTTGATTTACTTGCTTACTCACTAATTTTAGGGTTAACAAACACAAACATTTATATCATTTCCGTGAGTATATTTTCTAACGTAATTTACTAATGTTGAGAATTTATTAAAATCACCCTACTGCTATACAAATTTCAAAAATGTAACTTTAGTGCTAAAAATAATTTTATATTTTTAATGTTTACAGACTATTGTTCTGTATAATTACACTTATAAGTATTTATTGTTCCTACAACGTTTTACCCTGGACACAAATTAAAAAAAAAAACATTACATCTATACCCTACCGAGACCTACAGATACCATACCTCACTGCAAAAAGCTGAAAAGACGTAAAGTTGAGTGGGAAATGTAAAGAAATTTAAAACAAGAACTGTTACCAACATGGGCGGCCGCAGGAAGGGGCAAGGGGGGGGGGGGTCAAGTGACCCTCCCCTGGATTTTCAAAAAGAAAAAAAATACTAGATATTTAAAATTATTCTTCTATGTTATTGGAAAATCATTTTTTTCAAACTTCAGTTACTTGCCCACCCCCTTAATTTTTTCTTTTTCTGCGGGCGCCCTTGGTTACCAATATGTTGATTTTAAAAGGATATTTGTAATTCATCGTTGATTAATATTTCAGTACGATGCGGTTCAAATTTATTTACAAATGTACAAATCGAATTGCCTGCAGCTGTTCTTGTGTTACATCATGTGACAATGCACCATCTGCCAGTGTGGAACTCCGAAAAGGATGCTTTTCTGAAGGCGCGCTATCGCGCCAAGAATCCACCAATGACTGTTTTGAAAAACATCACAATGCAGGGTGTTTTATAACCACCATCGGTTACTGACGTAGTACAAAAGAACTTACCGTTATCCCAAATACGTATTTTATTAATCTTCCATATAAAGTACTAAATACACAATAACTGGAAAATAACGATCAATCGTTGTTGCTACAATCTGTATTGCAAACATTTGTCAACGGAGGGTCTTGGATACTTATCAGGGAAGTATTATCTAGTAATTAACAATTATTGTAACTAATGCACTTACTCTATTCCGGGTATTAAAGTTAATAATCCAAGTGAACACTAGTCATAACATTTAATCCGTCAAATTATTTGCAATTGATGTCAAAACTACTTACACATAAGAAAAAGAAACTAAAGTGTCAACAATAAATACTTATAATGTTCGGTAAAAGCATTTTACTAA